TTAACAAAATTCATTTCATCGGAGTGAGGCAAGTCATGCAAGAAGAAAGAAAACAGAAAAGGAGAAAGGACAGCGCCTTGAGTCCCTCAAGGACACCAGCCTCAGTAAGCAATGAAGTGGACGACTTTCCCTGACATACAGTGTATTGCTTTCTTCCTGAGAAATAAGAATGGAGCCATTTGACAACCAAGCAGTCGGTTTGATTTTCAGCAAGCTTGTTTAGTAAAATGTCCCTAGGTACTGAGTCGAAAGCAGATGTATAATCTAGAAAGGTGCAGCGAACAAATTTAGCCCCCTTGTCTAAGCTACAGACAATGTTATGATACAAGACTGCGGCTGAATCTAAAGTACTTCTACTGTGTTCTGTTGAGGCCCTATGATCCACTTGGAACCCTAGAACACAATAATAATTATGCTAATAATAATGAATTCTAGGTGGATGTCGTGATTAGTTGGTCCACCAAGTCAAGTGGGAGGACAGATAGCCACCCATGGCATTGGATGCTGGTAGTGCAATATATTACGAATTAGTATTTTCAACAGGCTACTGGACAGTTTCATCAACAGCTGTCATTAACTTGGTGGTATGTTGGTCAATTCGCTCGTCTGATGAACTCAAGTCTCTGCGTTCGAATTCTAATGGGGCTATGGATTTATGATGCTGAAGGATCTCGAAAACATGGACGAAACAGCTGTCCAATACTTGTTTCAAGTTATCAATGTTCCTCCAACCAAGTCAGTTCGTAATCGATCTAGAAAACGCCTTTGAATACATGTTATGCTATTTTTGTCCGTATATAGCTAGCGTCGCAGCTATACATTACGTAAGTGGAGAAAACATTTACTTTTAGAGTGACTAACTGAGTTTAGCCTTGCAAACAACTTTAAAGGGTGAATCACCTGGAAATGATTGACTCGTTTCAATTCTTGGTCGCCGAATAACTCCTAATCCTCGCTTAGTGAAAGTTTGACATGACACTAAATACCTGACACCATTAAAAACAATGCTACCATTACAACTTAAAAATGTATGCTTAAGCTTAAGTCAAATGTTACAAGTTTGGCCGGTGATCGATATCAGTTAGAGAACCACTGAAACCCAGGACCGGATTAATACGCAGCTCTTTCATTCTATTCTGATAGTCATCAGTAGTACGCACCCATCCCACCAGCTCCACTTACAAGTGAAGCTAGTAGACCATTTACCCACTGGAAACCTATTCAATGGCTAACACAGGAACTCTAACTTCTACCGACCATCAACAGCCAGTGTCATCCACGGCAAGTATTCGTCCTCATTCATTGTTACATTTTCACTTTGATAGCAAAGGAATGAAACAAAAAAGTGGAAAATTTCAAATTGCATTGTTGATACAATCCCACCGTGGTTAGTTTTATGACATTTCATAATATTCTTCTACTTTTATTGAGAAGTAATCTACTTTTTTCTATCATAAAATGGACATACAAGTCCAATTTGATTATTGCAGTATTTCTTTAAGCTACTTAACCTTATTCAGTAGTCTACTTTTATTATGATAATTTAGAAGTCGATCCATATATAGTTCACAACACAATTTGAACCATCTAATTTCAACAATTTAAAGTGCACCGTGACGGCGAACCACTTAGAATGGTGTCCACATTGCACACGTGACTGATAGAATTCAGTCCGTACCAAACAGAGGACTAGACACATCCCACTAGTTACTAGCGTCCAATCAAAAGCTTATATCTTGGAAACTTGACATTAGTGTTTGAAATCTGAATCTAGTGAGTGGAGTGTATTTCCACACGATGATTTTTGTCAGATTAATGAAAGCATCTGCCTTGATTTTCCGATCCTATCTCTCTCTCCCTCTCTCTTTGAAATCTTCATCTGTGACTTGAAAGAGGCCAACGAAGACACCTACGATCAAATCTTGTGACTTCTTTGTATTCCTATCTTCAAGAATTGATTACACACGGACTGTTGAAAGCGCTTTGATTGAATCCCGGATATGCTACAAAGCTAATTCATGTTGACACAACATAATAAATAAGTCTTTTTACATTTCTGTTGAATCTTTACCAGGATTTGTGCAACAACTTTAAAAAAATTAAGGAGAATCGGCTTATTAGGGATTAAAGACTTCACTTGAAGCTAATGGGTCCTGGGTTCGACTCCTCATGGTTTCAGCTACATCAAGCCTGGATAGCTTGGTAGTATCATCAGATGCGAAACAGCCCTTGTGCCTTATAGCCTAAAACATGATAGAGCTTTACAGAGGGTGGTAGTGGTGACTTTGTTTTTATATAGGATGAAGTTGTTGGCCTCGAACCCAACCTTCCCTCCTTACAGGGATTACAATCCATTCAGCAAGGTCTACAACTGCATTCCTGGTCGGGAACTGAATCCTGACCACAGAGATGGCTAGCATCCGCACTATATTGTGTAATGCACTCATCTGTCCACTGATCCTATTCATCCCATTAATTTTACATTCTGTTTTCCCAAGATCTCTAACATTCTACGAACTATTCTACGTGCATGACATAATTTGTTTTACCACCTGATATTGGACTATGATCACAAATCGCACTTATTATTATTATTGGTAGTATTAGTATTAGTATTAGTATTTAGTTTGTCCCATTCTCTACCCTCCTGTTTGGCTGGCCTCATGATCACCTACAGTCTCTCATCTCCTTATCCCCAAACGATATACTGCATATCATCTTCGAAGCCACGCGCAGTTCCCTATTTCCCTTTCGGGTTACACTCAATCGATAACCTAGATGACTCAGGATGTAACCCAACGGTCTTCTCAGCGGATTCGATCCATCTATCTCCATTTCCTTCCACATTTTGATCAGCAATAGTTCCAAGATTGGTTCCTTGCATGCAAGGGTTCATTGTTGCCAACTCTCTCTCACCGGCTACTTAGAGTTAGGGAAGGTGGCTGTTACTAACAGTCTACAGTGGCCTATTCGAAATACTTCTCGTGAAGCCAACATCAAGTTTCCGACCCACATAGAAGAACTCACTCACTTACTTAACATTGGTGTTATGCTTCAACAAAGTGGAGGAGATATCCAAAGCTACTTCAGAGTGACGACAGTCTGTCGTGACTTTCTTCTCTGGTTTTGACATCCTCATCCACGTCGTTCCGCTGGCTGTGGTTGGAAAGAATTTGCTTATCCAGATAAATGGAAGAAGTGACCTCTTTCAAATTTATTCTCTTGATGATGGTGATTGGTGCTTGTTGTTGTCAATGTTGTTTTGAGTTGGTTATCTTCATCACCTACATCTTCACTGTGTTCACTTAAAGTCCTGTCTTGTTGTCTGCCTCTTCTGACAGCTTCTTGGTTTTTCATCTGCGAGTCTCCGAGTTTGTGTGGCATTAGACATAAATCATCCATGTGAAGTCCAGATCTTCCAAAGTTTTCTTATCGGCCCAACACACCCCCGTCTTTTCGCACCACACGCACGGTGTTACGCATAATTCAGTCAACCACAATTAGGAATGTCATCATGGGGTGATAGTAAGCAGCTTTGTCTTACTCCTTCTGTCTTGACTTCTACTGCAGGCTCCGTTGGGTTTATTGTGGTGGATCACTTTACATGTAACATTATCACATTTTGTTGAGAATGAAGTTGTTATCACTAATCATAATAATAAAGATCCTATCTGTTCGATTCATGGCTGTAACGTCACAAGGTGCTTACAGTAGATGAGGACTCAGTCACAAACTAGGCGGACTAGACAATGAACCAGTGTACTCTCTACTACAAATGGTACTTTTCAATGGTCCTCTTTAACTGATTTGTGTGTCAGCCATTTCGTGATCATGAAATCTGGAAATCAAACAAACTGACACTCGAAAATTAATCTACTGTTAACTAGTGAGTAAGTGACTTGGTTTTCAGGATGAAGTTGACTGAAATCTTCTAGTTAGAAGTGGTTACTGGCAAGTATAAGGAAGTAGTTGTTTGTAAAATACCTCCTGAACGATCTCTTTACGATACTGACACTTATTTGGATATTTTAGCTAACTTTGAAACCGTTATCCTCTTTTATTCTAGTCTGTATTTCATTGTTCTAACATTTGCGTATCACCTACTGTGTGAAACCTTATTATTCACCTTTGTTATTTTGTAATCCTTAATTCAAACGGCTCTGTTTGCAGTTGTATAATGGTGTTCATAATGTGTTGTTCAACGATTATGATTTCATTTGAATGAGGTAAACGTTGGCCATGGCGATTTCAAACTTGGACTGTCAGCGACAAGTGTTTAGTGCGTGATTCTTGCTGATAGGGAGTTTTGATCCCGCTATATTTGTTGGGAATATTATTCTTAATTCTCAGATAATTCACACGGTTGATTTTGGTTTATGTAACACTGTGTAGTGCAATGAATTATAAATTGTGTTCAACACGCGTTGTCATTCAGTAAACAATACTTTGTCGCTGTCTGAGATATATCTAAAAAACAAATTTATATGGGACGATCGGCGGGCTTGTCGCATAATCTGATAGCCGTGAATTCAATCCATGGTGGTAGGATTATAAGTAATTACTGATGATGAGAGTCCCAAACTGAATCACTCACTGAATAATTGCGACTGTGGGCATATTATACAGCTGATTGAATGATGAGGCCCGAAAAAGGATGAAATGTGAATCTCCGGAATTCCACAAGATCAGTTTTGAGTGCAAATACTTAGCGACGATGTTGGCTGTTGGAAATTCCGCTTATTTGTGCATATATATATATATATATATATCACAAATTAGAAATTAGAATTCATAGACCAGCGACTGAATTCCATCCCATCGACTAGCAATGACCAACTGACTGACTCAATACCCTAAAGGTAAAAGGCGGTTCAACCATCTTCGGTGGAGTAACGATTGTCTGCATCTATTTTCAACGATCCTCTGACTAACGCGTGTCAGTCAGATTATTATTAGCAAACGCTTTCAGAGAAAACAAAAACAACTGACAAGTGACTTACATCATTTTTTCCTCACTTTTGTTATCTGTTAAAATGTCTTCAATACTTTTCATCAACTCTTGCAAATCTTTTATACAAGTTCCGTGTTTCCATGTTGATTTTTGCATTATTTCCGACTTTTTTGCAGTGAATGAATCAACCAGTTTTCGAAATTTTAACAATCTATTGTAGTACTTTTTACCTAAAACAGATATATGGATATACATATATTTAAAAATTAATTAATTAATCAAAGCAAGTTTCTTTTCCTCTAACAATTTAACCATTAATACCACCAAACAGTTAATTCTAGAGAATGCACCTCTTGTGAATGAAGATGTAGCGGTTTTGCCGAACAGGTTCCTTTTATTCATACTGAAGATCAGATGGCAAGCCAGAAAGAATAAGCACCAAGAAACTCTGGCAGGTAAGGAACCAATCGAGTAGGGAATAGGGACTGATGGATTGACCACACTATGAGGATGCCGTCGACAAACATCACGCGCAAGTCAGGCCATCGCTCGAGAGAGACCCGAATAAAAAACAACGAGTTCGGTGTTGATCCGAGGGTGATATGGAGAAGAGATCGTGTAATGAGAGGAGATGAGAGACTATGTTCAGTCATGGGGCCAGTTAAAGAAGACTGCTGTTGTAACCCTGTGTCCTACTCGGAACCCAAAAGAACAATAATAATAAAATGAATTCTGAGAAAAGAAAATGGTGAAGTTAAAATGTAGCGATGAGAGAGTGCAAACGCACCGATGACCTTGAACGCATACTTTTCACTGGATAGCAAGGCTTACCATTAATATAGCGTCATTATGAACTCTGTTCACGCAGTGACGAGCAAATTTCATACCAAATCCCTTTTTTAAATGCTGTTTGGACAATGTGTTGATAGCTGGTTAGGATCACGTTTAGGTTCAGGGTTCCCATTAGGTTTGGGGTTAGGAATAGGATTGAGGTGTTTTATTTTCATTTGCATTTTTCTAGTTAGCAATTCTCAACCCCATCACTGAAACCCACACTAATTGAGTAGAGCGCTTCTGGAGGAGACTAAAACACAGGACAACGTGCGATAAATGGATCACAAAAAGAACTAATCTTCAGTTACCAGAATGAATACATGTACCAAAACTGGTTTGACTTGAAAACGTATACTCCTCATCATAATCAGGGGATATTTTTAAGTTACGTGAGGGAAAAGCGTTCTGTTTATTGTGTTTTCTTATTATTCTCCATATTTCTCTTGTAAATAAACGTCATTTTTAATGAAAAAACCACAGATTTTTCTAGTTAGTTGTCTGAAGGTCAGTTGTGATGCGTGTTAAACGGATCGTTATAGTTTAACTTTTCCAAGAAAGTGAAGCAAACTTGTTGGTATATTGAAAGAATTCAATAAAGCGCATCCAGCCATAAGTTTTATCAGAGAAGAAAAAGAAGAACAAAAGATCTCATTGCTTAGGATGTCCTAATGACTAAATGAGAATACGAGAATGCGTAGACGTCTTTTCGAAAATCTCATACATTTGGTTCCCTTGATAAATTTTGAGTTATAAAAAGTTTAACAACTATTTTTACCAAACAACTGATGGGGCCGCAACAGGTTCACCTTTGGCACCTATTCTGGCCACTGTCTTCATGGGTTATCTCGAACAGATGTGACTGAGCTCTGCTATCAGTAAAATGACCTACTATCGCTGAAATGTTCATAGTACTTTTGTTGTTTGTTACGACATGAATCACGCATCTGTATTACTTTACCGTCTCAGTGAGACCCACCAAAACATTAAATTCACCATGAAATATGAAAATAACGAAAAGTTCAGCTTTTTGGACATTAATACAAGAAGGAGAAGAAGAAACGATGGTACGGTCGAAATGTCCATCTATAGAAAAAAAACGTGGACTGGACAATGTGTTCACTACAACAGCTTCTGTATTATAAGCTATTAGTGTGGATTAGTGAGGACATTGTACGGCACAACCAGGAAGCTATGTTCACCCAACAAGCTGGAAGAAGAACTAGGCTTTGATGAGAAATGCCTGAGATAACGGATATCTAAAAGGATTCATCCAAAAGTATAACAGAGAAAGAGACGAGAAAATGAAACACCCAAACTGTGATGGAAATTAAAAAAGTCTTTATTTGTCTTTATTTGCCGCTTATTCAGCTCGTTCCTACTGTAGTGGAGCGACACCTGAACTCTTGTGGGAGATGGTCTAAGTCCATATTGCCTGACTCTCAACACCCTCTCTATTCACAACTCTCCGCTCCCTTGCATCTCACCTGGTAGAACTAGAAGTCATTACAAAAGAGTATATGCTCACTCGTACAACTCAAAACAAGAACTCAACGACAACCTATTTGGCCCACCAGCGTTCTATGTAATAGAAATAGGGTTAAGCGTGGAACATACAACAGCATACTATGTTATTAGCAAAATAACTGGCTGTTTTATCTTCCATTTCTAATTCATGGTGATACTATTTCAGTTAACTCATAATTTTGGCTATTAACATTATTATCATTATTTTATACTTTTTGTACATTTCTGACTTTATTGTAACTGAAAATATCAAAACAGCTGCTATTTTCAATCCTGTAATATTATTTTTATATTTTTGTTTTGGAGTTGTAGAATAAATTAGATTCGTTATTGTATCAAATGCTGAGAATTCCACAATCTACCATAGGTACTGTTTTGGTATAAAGCAAATTATTACTATTCTAGGTTGTGGGGTGGAGTTAGAGGCCATGGCAGCGAGAGGGATGGAAGAAACGTTTTCTGAATACAAAAATTAGGTTCAAAAGTGTTTTTATGGCAACTGCCTCTCTCACTCATGCTTAACAATCTAGAAGATGTACAAACTTAAGGAATTGATAGGGGTACCCTGTGTTGAATGAGTAGTAAAGGCTGAATTTTTATCAGTTTTGTGCTCTGTATCCACTCCAAGGTGTTCAAGAAGGTAACGGTAGGCCAGTAAGGTGAGTCGCTTTACTACTTATGTGACTGTTTCCACAAGAACACTTAGATTTATAAATGTACATTGAGGTGACCAGATTCAGTAGTTTATGCTTCATCTGCATTATACAACGAGTGGGAAATTTTAAGCATAATGTTGAGGGCCAAAGAATGTTTTGGCTGTTATCCTTTTTCGTAGTTTTGATGCCAGTTACATGAGAACGGATATCCAGAAAAATTTGTTAAAGTCCCATTGATGCAAATAGATAGAGAGAGAAAAATGCCTGCAAACAGTGTAGAAGAAACGTTTACAAATGTATAAGTGACAATGAAGCTACTTCCGCTCCTGTATGCAGAGTTCAAGATTTAACATGTAGGCTACCATCGCTTCTGCAGTTTGAAAAGCCGTTATTCGTACTCCCTTGGTAAGATTTCTGCATACCACATAGATATCTGTTAAACTTGTGAGTTGGTTCATTGTCAGGAATTGTTCAGGTGTTCAAAAATAGAGCTGGAGCGGGGGAGGGAAAGGGTCTTTCACCTTCTCTGTAAAACTGTGAAGATAAATATTCCATTACACTTTTGCATAGCAAATGATGAGTGCAGGCGATTTCAGATACATCTTGCTGGCTACTGAGTGCCAACAAGCACAAAACCTAAAACAAGTAAGGCTTCCTGCCAATTGCCTACAATCCTATAATATCAACAATTTGCCAAAAATACGAATTTTCTTAAATCGTGTTCTATGATTATACTGGACAGAAATTTTGGCCCAAATGGTCAAATGTATGATGCTTTGGCGTTTGAAATGTTGGATGAGAGCACTGAGTTTGAGTCTCATTGGGAATATCATCATCATCATCATGCACTAGGGCTTGCAGGTACATTCATCTGATAAGTCCCGAATAGGATGAACTACGCATCGTGAAATGTTCAATGCTAACACAAATGAAACTGTCTACACAAGTATGGAAATGAAATCGCCACAGAAAGAGAGAATTTCCTTCGTTGAAAAATGTAAATTGCTTAAATGAATTAAATCACACTAATGAACTATAGCAATCACGGTATCTACTTACCATCTGTAAGAAGCGCTGATTTCAATTCTTCACCATAATCTCGAATCAGTTTCATCTCTTTACATTGGAGAGATAATTTACTGAATAACTGAAAAGAATCTTTGTTTAACTTTTTCAATCTACGTGAAGATAGCGGTAATATTTAAAAATAATCACGATATGCTTACTGATACTGAATTAGGCGTAAATCAGTCGTCGTAGAATTTGATTTAGCTTCAATTTTGACTTTGTCTGTCATTTTTTTTCTACAAAACAAATACGAATGTGAAAAAGAAAAATTCAAAATAAAGAAAGAATATTACTTTCTTAACAACATTTAGAAAGAGTCGGTTGAAACTGGCAGTTTGGTTTTCAGTGTCAGAGAAATCCGAAGATCTAAAGGTGGAAACCAACAAATAAGCAGAAGCAGCTACAGGCGGAAACGCGACTTTACAGGTGAACATAGGAAAGACAGTGGTGATGAAGATACTCGGTCACCAGAAACAACAACAAGCGAGTGGGAGAAATCTAAAGGGAATCTCCTCTTTTACTTACAACTTGACAGCATCGTATCATCTGTAGGTGGTGGCATGGATGAAGATGTCACAGTCAACCAGGGTAAGATCGGCAATGGGAAACAGACTTCCATTAGTGTGAAATCATTGTGAAAATATGTTGCACTAATTTAGCATAAGGAGCAACACTAATGTAATATAACTTAATGCTTTTATATGGTGACATCCCATTCTTGGCGCTCTCGTGGAACATGAGTAGGAGACGACAAGTTGGATATGAGTCCAACGAGTGACATAGAGGAGATGGTATGAAGGAGGTGTGAAAGCCCATAGTACGTCATGGAATCACCTAAAAAAGACTCCAGAGAACAGATTGAAATGGCTGCCTGCCCTGGCTAAATCGTCGTGTTCCACTCGGAACTCAAAGAAATATGAAATAATAAAGATGATAATTGAGAACGAGGGAGCACATATTTCCTACTCTTTAGCACCGAACGTTGAGGATAATTTAAATCTCTACAAAAATAGCTATAATCTAAATATCGTCCCCCGTCTTTGCAATTGTTCTTCAATGGATATCCCAAGGTTGTTTTAATGAGAAGTTGTGGCCAGTGGGATCATCCCCATGTCACGAATTAAGTGGATGTCCATGTTGATGCTATCGATTGATGGTGATGGCGTTATGTTTCACGAGATGAAGTAAATTAGAACTGATGGATTATTGCGTATCGACCTAAGTGGTGGTGTGGTCAATGAGCTCACCTAACAACTAGAAGGTCCTGAACTAGACGTGGGTGCAGTCATGGGCGAATGGTGCTCAAGGGTCTCAATAAATGGGAAAAAAAGATATCCAGTGCTCCTTGCAATAGTTCTCTAACTGATATCAACTCGCGTTCAAACCTGTAACCAACCAATTCCTTGTAAAACAATATTTGATAATTAGTTGAAGGACTTCATCATGAGCTGACATCAGTTAGAGAACCATTGGAAAACCAACTGGGAGTACTGTATAGGCTGTTTCGTCCTAGTTTGGGACGAAAATTAATTGAATGCTCACTAGTGAATGACAGACGGACTACAGGATGAATTCACCTATTGGACGTGTTAGGAGTGTGTCGATTCTGCGATCAGCCTCTCCCCTAATAATATTATTTCCAGAAAATTTTTAGAAAAGGATGTTTGAAACTCTACTTGTAGGATCGAGTGGCAAGGGATTTTATCTGCCGATTCATAGAAAACCATCTTGGAACAATCAACTAACAAGTTTCTACAGTTGGGTACCTATTGAGCAGAAAAAAAATCTGATTAAATCCCTTGCTACTCTGACCCGACTTAGCATCTGCAGTTGGGACGCCACAGAAACAGAATTAGATCTTCTGAAAGGGGCGTTCATCCAAAATGGATACCCACCAAGATTCATCGACAAGAGTATTAAACCAAAGGTCCAGAGGAACACAACATCACTTGTTTTAAGAAAATACTTTACACACGAGACTTAGCTTGCGATGTCCTCAAGAGAAGAATCTCAGCATCTTTGAAAAGAACATTCTTCTCACCAATGCTAGGAGCAGTGTTCTCCAGTTGTCCCTTAATCTGGGGAAGACTTGACGGCGAAATCTCGCATCTGGCAACTTCCATTTGCATATATCAGTTCACCTATAGCTATGTAGCCAGGTACATCGGTCGTTCGAATTGCATCCCGTCCAAAAGGGTTCAAGAACATCTTCCAGTATGACTGCAAAAAGGTAATATTGGCTGTATAAGGGGTGCGATAATCGAACATCCTGTCAACACTGGTCATCCCATCTCAACAAACGCCTCCTTCAAAGTGATCTACAAAGTTAAGATTACAAGGCGTTCAGCGAAGAGACTCTTTTCGGCGAATGAATTCATCCAAAGAATAGATGCTCCCGAACAACATGGCGAAATGCGCAGCCACTTACATATGACACACAAGTCTAAGCTCCTATGAACCAGAGGGAATAGCACTCTCATCAGTTCAGAATTAATTGCATTTAGGTGTCATAGCAAGACATGATTTAAAAACTGCAACACATTGTCGTGCGGTGGCAGCATGTAGTTTCAGATCTGTGTGGGCAAATCACAGAGCCTTTACTAGAATCAATGGAAATAAGTTCACCTCTTTGTATAGATCTCTGGTGAGGTTAAGACTGGAAAACTATATCCAGGCAGCCAGTTCTTATCTTAAGGGGGATTCATACGTTGTAGATAGGGTTCAGAGGAAGGTAACACGTATAGTTCTTGTAGTAACCAATTTATCATACCACAAAAGATTAGACAGTTTGAATCTCTTCTTTCTGTCCTGCCGTAGGCGGAAATAGGAGATCTCATTACAATCTTTAAAACTTTAAATGACTACTGACCTGATCTATTTTTTCATTCTCATCAGGTGGTCGGAACACCTCAGATTAAATGGCAAGAGAGTTCAGAAGCCAAGAAGGGACGATATCTTTGTGCAGTACACTGGTTCTCACACCCAAAGAGCCATTAACTCCTAGGAGAAGTGCTGTCAGTGACTTCAACTGATATACTCAATAAGGGTTTGAGCAAGCAAAGAAATATACTGCAAAATGATTGGCAACATAGGTTTCACATTGAATAATATACTTGTGGCCAGTTGACGTTAACCTACTAGCCTCTTAATACTCGGCTTCTGATGTTGACAAACAACTCTGAATCTCTAGTATCATATTGTGATTTGATACACTTAATCAATTTCCTGATAAGGGTCTTCGCTGATACAGTGAACCATCTGCTTGTAATGCAGAGCGTTTTGAGCTATTTTCTCTCACAGAAATACTAAAAAGATGAAGTATTACCGATGTCATAGGCGAACAAATTATCTCTTACTTGATTTGGTGGACCCCTGTGCCAGTTACTTCTCACTTTTAACGTTAGATTAGTGTAAGCAGGTAAGTATAAGGTGGAGAAGTATAGCATCGAGCGTTAAGGTTAAGTACAAAAGGTATTGGTTAGGGATTTTGTTTGCGTTAGCAGTCGGGGTTATGGGCTAGACCAGGGTTTTGGTAAAGCAGAATCATTAATGTAATTGTACAACTTGGACACTGTGATAGAATGCAATTCCACGTTAGATAAGTTTCTTTTTAAATATCACGCAGCGATGCAGTATTAACAACTGGATGACGTTTTGAGCACAATTTATTGCTCATAATCATGCCGACGTACTCACACTATTTACTTGCTTCGTTTATATACATGAGTAAAAATTGACTATACATATGAATAAATCAATAAAAGTTCAATAAACATGCGTCTAACAGAAAAGTAGATAAAGTATATTTGGAAACAATATTGTATGAGTACCTTGATATGATTATGAGCAATAAACTGTGCTCGAAACGTCATCTAGTTGTAAATACGGCATCGCCGTGTGATACTTAAAAATAAGCTTATCTAATATGAAAGGAGAATCATCCCACCAAAATAGCTCAATCACTTATATATACATATAGAGAGACAGAATTTGTCGACAAATGAAAGGGTTTCTACAGTTGTTTTTAAAAAGGTCGGATTGTTTTTTGAGGTTATTTTTTGGCTGGTGTAGTTCATCTTGACTATGGTCCTTGGTAAAAAACGTTTATTGAGGGTACTATGAAGACTAACAGAGAATGGGCAGCAGTGTCATTTTTTACAGTTTAACTGTTTAATTATTATTTTAAATTTTATTGTCCGTCAGATTATGTATCTGCCATACGTGAACATGTAAAGGAACTTTGTCTGTAGACAGCGTCCATATAGCTTTAATACTAGTCCAGTTACTCCTTCCGTCACCATTCTTCTGACATTCTTTAAAAGTGTAATGAAATAACAGGGCTTGAGATGAAAGCGTATAAATATACCGTAAAATCTCAAACTCCTCTGTGGGGTTGATGTTGCCAAGTATTTGCCTTATAATGTAAGAAGTGAAGTGGCTTTATCTGCATCTACCTATTGGTTAGACATCATATTCAGATTCTAGTTCAAAAGAAAAGAAGGCCACGGCATGTCAAGGAATGTTTAAATGATTATCCGGAAGATACTTGCTGACAATCGGCAGAGCGACGATTTGCATTCCCATAGCTGTGGAAACTCAAACTTTTGGTAGGCAAGTATACTCGTCCATAGTCATGTCGTTCCTATTATGTAGAGAGCTACATCGTCTAGAAAACATACTGTAGCGGAAATTTGTTCGAGTAAACTGTTGTCCCTATAGGGATTTCAATATCTGTAGATTCCCAGATGTTTCTAAAGTCCACCTGGTGCTCTGGCTATCTGTCCGTAAACTTTGCAAACTATTATTTATGTGTACGTTTTCATAGTATAATAACACGCATAAATGTTTTATCAGACTAATGTTACCCGCATTGTAAGAGAAAACTTGAAAAATTATTTAGGAAATGATTTCATTCAAAAAATGCCCCACAAAATGCGTCTCTGAACGCAATAAAACATACTTACATCACAATAAACTATGAATGCGCTGATCAATAATTCAATAAGTAAGAATGTCAGTGAAATATTCTAATAATCACGTTTTTGAGAAAGAGATTTGTATTCGAGGAAAACATACAACACCTTGACTATCATTGTGGTGGTGCAGTAAAACAAATTTCAAGTAACTTCACACCCACTTAGAATAATCGGAACTATCATATATTTCCGTCTCTATTTCTTATTAAATGAATAAAATTCAAGGGTTGAATGTTTCTTTTTAGAGTGTCAG